CAAAAGTTGTTTGCTCCTTTGTTCTCCCTTGGTTTTCCTGCTCATCTCTCACTGGCTGGTGGGTTCCGCAGTGCAGAGTGAGCTCCCATTGGTCCCCTACCCTGGATACTCCTAAAGTTCCACCCATCTTCTCCATGTTCCCCAATCCTGCTCTCCCCTGAGGTGACACCAACACTGCTGCCAAGCTCACATTTAGGTGGTGCAGCTAACCAAGTCTTTGAAAGAATTGTTTTTAAAAATTCTAACATGTGGACATTGAATTCTGCAAAAAGTAATTTTAATTCGTAAGGCTATGAAGAAAATAATTGAGCAGCACTGATTCATTTTTGGTACTGTATAAACAAACACTTATTTTAGATATTAATGAATTTGTAGTATATTCTTAATCACTGATGACCTATATGTGAAGTATTAACTTGATGCAGTTTAAAATGCCTAAAAGGTTAAGCCTCTGAAACATTTTTAATAGAAAAAGATTGACTATACCTAAAATAAGAGTAATTTGTGCAATAAATAATTGAAATACATGAACTAGTTGAATGTTTTGTGGGAGGAAGGTTGCTTGGTTGAGAAGACAAAATTCTAGAAAAGTATTTAGTTCCAGATATAAACTCAAGGTCTATTTAAATGTAGATTTTGCATTTCCAAAGATGACTCAGTGCGTAGGGGAGTAACGTGTTGTTTTGCTGGCATAGATTGAGGAAGAAACATCTTTCAATGTTCCTCTGTTAGCACAACCTGGTCACATGACATAATAACAGTAATATGATGCAAAGGGTCTTTCTGCTTAAGTTCCTGGCTACAGGAACTGAATCAGCTAAGGAATAAACTACATACAAGTACCTAATTACAAAAGCATAATTTGTAAAAGCAAACTTCAGATGGAAGTAGTTTGAAGCCATAAATTTAGAAAGGTAAGTAGTTTGAAAAAAAACAGTAGAGAAGGGGCTTGTGTGTCCAGTGTGGATGTAAAGAAGAGGCGAGTTTAGAGTAGAAGGAGAAAGGAAGCAAACTGTAACCTAAAGAAAATGAAGTTTTCCATAGACCCTTGAATGGCTGCAATATATTATATCCCCATTCAAGTACCTTTTCTGCTGTCACTTTCTATTTAATTTCTATCCCTTCTTTGTCCAACTTTTCCACACCCTCTCACCCTAAATGTCAGTTTTCTTTAGGTGTATCTTTTACCTTCTAAATTTCCCCTGAACCTCTGTGTTTACATATCTGTCTTTAAGTCTGTGAATGCTAGTTCTTTTTCTGGCCTTGTCTTCCACCTCTTGTTTTTACTAGTACTTATTTTGCAACCCAGGTGACCTTGCTTTTCATCACATTATTTCTACACCAAATGCTTTGGTTGCCCTTAGTGCTCACCTTTATACTGACATTCCCAGCTCCCCTTGTATGTGTTCATAAAAATGAGGAAAAACACTTTTTCAGAAGTTCATCAAAAGCAAAGATTGAAAATCCTGGATGTAGAGAATTGAACTTTTAAAGGGTTTATTTATTTATTTAGTCCCTTTAATTGTGATATTTTTTCACGCTTTCTAGCTTGCCTACTACCAAAAAGAAAAAGTGATTTTTCTGTCATACAAAAATACAAGAGTCCTCATGTTTGTGTCTTACTCTTTTGACTTCTGCTCTTTTATTACAGAATCAAAGAATGGGAAGGTTTTATACTATTAATATTTCTATTCGTAACTTATGGTTATTGGTTCATTTCACATCTTTTCCCGGCTTATAAACAAAGGTTTCTTGAAGTTTAGCATTAAACAGTAATGGATCAGGAGTCATTTTGTGGGCTGGTCCAGTTACAAATATTGAAACTAATATGTAAACTAGGTCCCATTTTATCTCATATTAGCTGAGCTGGTTTGTATTTTGGGGTTGATTCCTATATTAGCAACAAATGCAGAGAATGTAAATGTATCGATGAACAGTAGAGGTTAAATTCTAGGATACTCTAGGATAGGATACATCTCACATACTTGAGCTATTTTCTTTTTCTTTAATAGTTGTTTTCAATCTGCACACCTGTACATTCAAGAATATATAGATTTTGGAAAGAACACTTGGATTTTTGGCTCATCTTTTGAATCCATGTTCCTTTCTTAGGAAAAGTTTATTTGAATTACCTTGCTGGCACTGTGTCCTTAAGCAGTTCAGATATGATTACCCAGAGTGACATGCTTACTGCGTTCCTATACACAGAATGACTTTCAGCCTAAGAAACATTTGTAAGACTAATACTACCAAAGCCAAAATGACCAATTGTTTTATAGTGGTTCAGTTTTCAGCTTCATTTCTTTCTTCAAGTCAGCTGAGGGATATTTCTGCATTACCAGAAGATGCCATTTCAGTTTACATCTTAAACTACACTTTGTCCCCAGATGATGTTGTAAAATGAATTGCATTCAGGCAGAGGCTTCTCAAGCACAACTGCTTCATTTAACAGCAGCGTATAAGTGTTCAACTCCCAATCCCTGGAGTTCTTCCTTTGTTAACAGTTATAGCATCAGACTTAAACTGGCAAGGTGTTCTGGAGAATACAGTTTTTCTGAGCCAATTAACTTATATTGTGAACTATACAATATAATACTTTTTTCTGTTTTAAATATGGCAACCAAGAAACCTAAAGAAATCAAAAATGTTTTTTGTCATCTTCTCAGATAAGAATACAAAAAAGTTCAAGGTTTCTCTGAGAGTGAGTAATTTCAATTGGAGCAGGAATTCCTGTCCTAATCTGTTTGTCTTCAATAATTTTCTGTCAAGATTAATCACACTTAGTCTTTCAAATGCTAGAACAGGGATAGAAAATTGCATATTGATGTAAACTTCTATGAAATTCTACCATTAAAAAATGTTAATGTAAGGACTAAGAACTGATTTACTGTGCACTAAATTTAAAAAAAAGTGGAACATAAACTTCATATATTTATCTGAGTGCTTTTCAGGTATTCATGGATACTGTTGCACAAGAGCCCTCTCATCTAGGGAAATCTTGTCAGGAGTTTATTGATATAGGAGAAAAATTAATTACACGCTCAAGAAAACCAAGCTCTGTGACAGAAGTGAATTCTGCTTCTCTGCCTTAAGAGGACCGGTGTTTTCTCCAGGAGTTGTCTGGATTTGCAATGTAGTGTACCCACATGATTTTGTAAACTCCTCATTTTGTACTGTTTTCTGTAAACTCATTTTTTTTCATTCTCTGTCCTGAGAAGACTCAAGGAAAAGCTAACTGTGCTAACTGAAGCCAACTACAGCAGTCAGTGATTATGGTTTTACTCTCAGTTCATTTTGAGATAGTAGAAAATAGCTGGTAATGAGGTGAAGACAGATTGAAAGAAGACATTCATTGGATCAAGGAAACAACCTCCCTGGAAAACTAGAAGAAGATGACAGTCATGAACTTTAAAAATACCAATATTTCTTTACATTAGTAATTTTACTTACTGTTGTCTGGTGTTAGATGTTATCTACCCTATGAAAGTATAGTGAGGAAGGATACATTCACAAGAACTTCATGACTTTTCAGTCCATATTTCCACAATTTGATTGTGTCATGCATGCGGTGGGATTTGCATGGATGGCTGATCATCTTTAAGTTTTTCATATTTTACAGCTGTTAGAAAAACACAAAAAATCAGTATCATCCATGGGCTTTTATATTCTGGTAAATTGCATTTTTAGGTTCTAATAGGAAAAAAAAAGCTGTCAAATGATTTCAGTGGTGTGGGGGTTTTTGTTTTGTTTTGTTTGTTTGTTTGTTTTGTTTGTTTTTAGAGGAATCCCAGAATATAATGATAAACAAAGAGGCATAGTATTTTCTATGCTTCTCTTTAGGGCTTTGTTTTGCCACCTGTTTTGTTCATTGTCATGTACAAGATGGTCATGTGCCTTCAGTAAGTTGCTATACCCTAGGCTATGCTATTTCCTTGTTGATTGCATGTCATATCAGTTCAGTGCTTGATATTTTTCCAACTTAGAGAGACCAGCATGAAGTACAATCACCTTAAGCACATTTTAGGCTAGATAAATATCTATAAAGACATTTATATAAACCACTTTGAAATTTAGCCAATAAAATATTTTGATCCTCAGGTAAGACCATGGTCTTTTCATTTGCAGGATGGCAAAGGGTCTGCTCTGCTCTTTGGGCAAGAAAATTCAGGAGTAGCTCAATTTCTTTTTCTCATTTGCCATTGTTTTTCTAGCTGTAGGTATAGGTGTTAAATTTCCATTCCATCAATAAAGGCTAGAAAACTGCTTTAATTTTGGTGTTACCCATTGAAGGTATGTTCAGGATGTCATGTAGAAATCTTTCTGGTTTTTATAAGAAATGAGACTGCATTATACATTTTAATTCTGTTCATGGTAGAGGCCATAGAGGATTTCTATGTTTCTAAACCTTTGGAATATTTAAATCTATACAACTCTCAAGAGTCTTCTTCAGTGACCAGATTTTCGTATCACATGAGAATTAATTTAGCAAGCCATTTTGAATGTAAGAAAACTAAAACTTTGTATCTTCTAGTCCATGGTCAAGATGTTAAAACTAGCCAAAATTCTATCTATTGAGTCTAAAAACTAATACAGAATAAAAAACTTAGAATATAAAACAGTAAAGAGAAAAGTGAAAGGATAAAGAATACAGAAAAAAAATGCAAGCAACAAACCCCCATGAAATATTGAAAACTGTTCTGTGGGTCTTGGTCTCCAAAATATTTTTTTTCTATATATTCCATTGTTTTCAGCAGGGATCACTACAATTTCAGGTCTTTCAGCTTAGTCTTCTTTTTATGCAGCTAGTTTTCAAAAATGTAATTACCCACAAACACTGATTTATAAAGGTGTTCCTTGATGCTTATCCAAAAAGGTGGTGAATTAGGAGATTAGCAGCATAGTACATACACATACACATAGTACATACACACACTTCTATAGAGGCCCAAACATCTAGGTGTGAATTTGAATATTCAAAGTCAAATTATATGTCTTTGCAGGTCGCAGAGTTTGTTGAAGTGACTGGAGAGTCAGTAGTCATTGGAGCTTGTTTCCTTGGAGAAAAGTTCCATTCTGCCAAATGAGGTTGCTCAATTGAGCTCTTGGCCAACAACAACAATTAAAAGGTATCTTCTCACAGGATAGATAAGAACAGTGTCTTCTATGCTAACAAAAATAGAAACAAGTGTCTCACAGATCTGTTCATAGCTTTGTGTGCTTTTCTGTCTTTCCTTTTCCCTTTAGGTTCCCAAAATTTTGATTCATCTGCCTAAACTGGTAGCTTCTGCTTTTTTTGTCATCCTGAAGTGCAGATATTTCTTGAGCAGTATTTTTAAATTGTCTACCTTTAGAGAACCTATGGTCTGGTGAGACTTAAAATTAGAACTATATATATTAATGATTCTCCTTTTAAAATATTAAGTACCTGTTTATTTCTTCCTGTACCTATAAAAATTGCTTTCTTCTTTTCATTACTGGTGCTAAGAGGTGGACAAATTCAACTACATGAAGGATGACCTTTCTTGCATGTTTTTCAGAGGGAGAACCTCTCTTCTAATGTAGCCATAATTTATCTCCTTTTGTCTGTAATCTTTAAATTAAGTTTCCAGTTTTCATTCCTAAGCTTGAGGCCTCAGAAATAAGCATTTATCTTTCATATATCCAAAGTCAAGAACATTATTGATATTCAAAGGTCTATAGACATCTGAAAATTTCCTGTGCTTTCTTTTACAAATTTAGCCATTTCAACTCAATGACTGTCCAAATGGATAGGGCCCTGAGTTGTTTTGCTCTGAAACTGCTGAAATGAATTCCCCTAACAGAATAGGGGCATAATCCATAGAAGTCAGACTGACATAGTTGGGAAACTTTTTCTTCATTTTCTGTCATCACTGAATGCAATATTCTTTTGGATTGCTGAAGGTAAATATGGTTCTACATTTGCTGATTGCTTTAAGTGCTCCAGCACTTCTCTGCTAGATAGTCAATAAAGCATTTTCTTGGAGTTATTTAAAGTGTGAATGTACATTTAGACTATTAACAGAAGAAAGACAAAGGATAAGAATAATCCTTGAGATTTTGAGTCAAAAAGTACAAGATTTCTGGTTGCTTCTGTCTCTCAAAGGTCTTTGTTGTTCCTAGATGTACACTTCTTTAGATGAAGGGGAATAGGAATTCTCTTACCTTATATATCTGGATGGTGAGAATAAGCAATCGAAGAGTCCTATGTGAGTGGGAAAAAGAAAAGAAGGTTGTTTACAAGTAGCAAAGTGTAAGGGTCAGCTTCTTGTTAGTGTATATGTGGTCATTTCAAGGGTATTTATAATTTTCAGTGCTGCTTTTATTACTGACAAGGCTCAATATTTTTCAGCTGTTGTTTTCAAGCATAATATGTGCCTTTGCATTTTGAAAATTATGTTTTGAGAGAGGGTTGCACGTATTGAGATATGAAGATGCACTTGTTGCACCTGAACAGTCAGAATGAACATCACAATTGACTAATCTGATTGCCTTCTATGTTGGAAGGATTGGTTGCACAGGCCCATGTAATATAACTCAACTTAAGCGAGATTTTAACATCCTTTTCAATTGTATTTTTATTTATAAGCTGAGATGAATGTGTTGGATGAATGGGTTGCTAGATGGATTGAAAAATGAGCAGGCATTTGGACTCTCAAGATAGTAATTAATGGGTCAGCTTCCAGATGACAACAAGTCAATACTGTTGTCTTTCTCATTCAATTATTTTTATCTAGGATGAAAGTATTTCAAGATGACAAGACAGAATGGACCCTTAGCAAATTTACATGAGGCAAAATTGGGAAGAGAATGTTAAGTGACACTCTACAGAAAAACACTGAGAAACACAGGGGCTGAACCAACAGACACCTAAAAAGTTTAGAAGTGCAAAAGTTCAGCAATTCAGACAAAACGACCAAGTAAGTACAGCCTGGGAACTGACTTAGTAGCAACTCTGCAGAAAGGAGAGGTTATAGTGGCTTACAAATTGAGTATTAATGGAATGGTGTCACCACATATAAGACAAACTGGCCTGCATTGGAAGGAACGCGAAAAACATATCAGAGGAAATTATTGTTCCTTTGTACTTCACACTGAGGGGACTAACTGGAGTAATTTGTTTATGTCTGCCTTACAGTTCAAGAAGGATTTTAAAAGACTAGAAAGAGTCTAAAAGAGGGCTAACAAGAGAGTATAACGTGGTTAGAGGTCTGAAGCACATGGTCTTCAATTAGAGATTGCTGGTGAAAGAAAGGCTAAAGAGACCCTTAATAGCAGTCAGTGAAATTTGAAAGTACACTACAAGGATGATGGAGCTAACTCCCCTTAGTCCTGGCCCTTGGTATATTAAAAAGCAAAAGCCACAAGTTTCAACTTCGGCACTGACATTAGAAAAAGTGCTTCACCAGGAGGGTCATGCAGCACTGGAACACATTATGAAGTTTAGTGATGGAATCTCCATCCTTATGGTTTTTTCAAACTTTTCAAGATAAAGCAAAGTTGACCCAGTCTAGTACTGGCTGTGGTCCAACTTTGAGTGAGATGTTCAATTAGGTGACCTGTAAGACATCCCTTGTAATCAACATTTCTATGATTCTATGCTTCGTACTACTGGATACTTGAATGCTTCAGTTGTCCTGGTACTCCAGATTGGGTAAAAAAATACAGTGAGGCTCTGTGTCCACTATGTTTGTTACATATGTAGACATAACAGTATAGGAGTTCAATGATTAATTAAATATTTCTTTTTCTTTCAATGACCATGGGAAGATTTACATATCAAGACAAGAAAAGCTTTACTGTCATAATCCCTAAACAGTAGCAAGAAACATGTATCTTTATTCCCTGGGATTGCTAACAATGGTTGTATAAATTAAAAACTGTTAATATCAGAACACTGTAATTGATTAGCTTCTGTATGTTTACAGCTCTCTTTAATTGCTTAAAAATGCCATTTGTCAGCTTCATGTTCTATTGACAATGTTATCGATTTATCCGATTTGGGCTTTGTCTTGTCTCTCGTACATAAAACTCACATATGCAGTTCAAATGGGAAATGACTCTATTGATTTCCTTAACTTGAGCCCAAATGCTAAAGATTTTTGGATAAGCTTTCTCATTATTTAAGCCAAAATCAATAAGAGAGAGCATCTTTTAATGAAAGAGCAGTTTGAGCAACGTACTTCAGAAATGGGGTCCTGTTCATCCTTTGCTTTACAAATCGATCTCTTTGGTTCCTTAAGTGAGGTCCAATTGGTTGACATTGTGGTTTGTCTTTGTGTGTAAACTTGCAGCTTCAGAAAGGAGATGAGCTACAGAGACAGCAGAAGAAAACACTTTCTCTGCCACAGGAAAAAGATGATCTTATTGAGGTACCACACTGTATGTTGTGTGTTCTGTAAAATTCTTGCTTTTTATGGCCATTTAAAAACTACTTAATTTATGGGAAAAATAATATCTTTTTCAGTTTTATCTCTTTGTCTGTTATGATTCTGTTGTGTAATTTTATTATTCTTTTTAAAAATATTGCATACTTAAATTATACAATAGTTAATTTGGAACTGTCACCTTCTTTTATGATTTTGCTGCATAAAATGCTATCACTGACTACAATCTGATCACATTGCTTTGTTAACCTTTTAATTTGTTCTGGTTTTATTTCATTGCTATCCTCAAGAAATTAGATTTAGAGCAGCTCCAGATTAAGCTGTATAAAAGGAAATCTGAGATAAAAAATGGAGAACTGAAACTGAAGAGCTACAGAATGAACTGGGTAAATCCAGCTAGTTATATGGGCAGGCTAGTTACATAGTTCAGGTACTGTACTAAGATATCATTAACTGCCCTGAACTACATAAATTAAGCTGATTATGCCTTCACTTAATTAACTGAGAATGACCTATTGATGTATAGGCAGAGCAAGATAGAGACTACATGCTGCACTGTACTAAATTTATAGGTTTTCAATTAGTTCTATTATTGACTGAGACTACTTAGAAAGGAGTTTACTTTTATGTTTTGTAGCAGGTTTTTAAATTAGGAAGTTATTTGGAAATGTTTGGTTTGTATGCTCTTGAATGATTTGAAAAATGATCCAGTGAAAATTGTTTTTTCATCTATATTCAAGGCTGATTGTTTGTCTTTGAAACTGCTGTTATGATTTATTATAAGTATTGATTAATCATCTCCAAAACATTAGTAATCTCCAAATTTTAGTCATAATGCTTTTAGAAATAATATAATCAGATTGTTTGTTTAAAAGAAAATTTTAGAGAAATGCAAGGAAAATCTCCACAAAAATCTGACCATTTTATTGTAAACAGAGATAGAGATTTTTCTTTCAGAAAAAAAATACATTGTGATTTTACTTAAGTTCCATACAACACCTAATAGTGATTTACTAAATGTATTAAATAATCTCAGTAATATATTTACAGGTTTTGGTCAAAGTAGAATAGGAATTTGTCTAATGTAAGGATTTTTATTATGCAGAATGATGGAGTCAGTTAGAATTTAGTTACAAATCGACTTCCACTGTAGACATGCTTTCAAAAAGTCAGACATTTAGAAACCAAAGACAGGAAAAAAAATATAGCTGTTAATTAGTAATACTACTACAATTTTTGGAGAAATGTAATAAGTTTAAAAATATTAGCATGTAATAGTAGTAGAACTATTACATCAGGCTGATGATTCTTCTGTAGTGTTTCTATTTTAGAAGATGTATTTAAAACATAAAATAATAAAACATCCTACAGATAAGATTGTTTATTAATATAACAAGTAAAATAAACCATTATGTATACTTAGCAAAATAGACCCTGACTACTCCTGTTTCGGTCCCTGAAAAAAGTTTTCTTTAACTCATTCTTAAGTATACATTTTTGGGGGTAATGTACTTGCTCTACAGATAACAGTTGTTCATGGTACATGTCTATGATCAAAGTTAACGTAAAATCTGCATTTTTTTAAAAAATGGTATACTAAGTGGAAGAATATGTATAGTCTTATCCCCTGGGACTGGATTGCTGTCCTTGTTGATGTAGTTCTCTTTAAGCTTGTAAAAAAATTATATGTACATAGATTATAGTATCTAACTGTGTTTTTTTTTTAAGATTAATTTTCAGCTTTTCAAATGGCAATGATTCTTTGAGGTTTTTGTCTTGATGCATGCCTGTGATATTCAGTTACCTTATGCCATAGCATCCATCTAAGGTTTTATGGTTAAATCTGCCCTCTGTAATTCAGCTATCACCTTATTGAAATATCTCCTGAGGTTTTCCCAGTCTATATTGAAGTTGACTACATTGTGCACATATTCAGTACTTACTCTTCCTTCAAATGTGGTCTATAAGCCTTTGGTATGGACTGGTCATACATAGAACACAAACCTCATCATGGTAAATTGATATAGGTCCTTGATTTCACTAGTTAGATTACAGTGGCAGCACCAGCATCTGGTGGTCAGCTGCTGTCCAGCTCTTTTGACCATCATTGACTGACCAAGCCAGGTCTCCGTTTTGTCCCCCTTATTGACATGTATTAGCATGTGCAACTCGTTACTCTCCTATATGATAATTTCCATAATTGTTAGGTTGACTTGTTTACTTGTTTACAGTTCATTTACTGCGTTATAAGTAAGTGGCTTATGAGTTCCATCACTTGCTTAACACCTGTTAATGTCTCAGTGTTTTATCTCCATTCTCCACCAGTTCATTTATATTAGCTTCTTGTAATTCAGATCTTCCCCTCTTAGCCCATCCCTCTCCTCTCTCTGTCTTTATCCTCCACCTGTTAACATTTGTCCAGGCCTTTGCCTTTTTTTCTCTATCCTAGCTGTCATTGCCATTTCTAATTGTCTGACTCATTTTTTAAGCCTCATATCTACCATTTAGATCTCTTTCATTAGGAGATCTTATTCTGTGGATTCTTCATACACAGGATGGTCAGAAATTACACTTTTCTGCTATGTAATTATTATATTCCTTTCTGATTTTCATTGATTCAAGCAGTTCATTCTTCTCACCCATGTCGATTGTTTTCTCTGGCATCACAAACTCTTATCCACCCACTCATAGCCTTAAGTTATACACACTGTTTACTTCCTCAACTTCTTTTCCCAGTTGCCTGAGAAATCTCTACAAATACTCATGACTCTTATCTCTTTTCTTTTCTCCTTTACTACCATAATTTCACTGCTAAAGAAATTTCCAGCTAAAGAAATTTCCAGCTAAAGGAATTAGACCATTTACCTGTTCCATCGTTTTGACCATGCCACTTTTTATTCTCCTTATGTTGTGTCTCATGAAATTAATTTTTTTTCATTAGCCTTCATGAGTTCTTCTCATTTCTGACACTTGTCATTTGCTATGTCACATTTTATGTCACGTATTTCAAATTCCTCCTTTTTTCTTTGATGTCAAAGTGAAATTTCTTTTTCTGCTCCTTCATGGGCTGTTTTTATACTTTCTTTCATTACAATCCTGAAACATGCTGTATTCTTCTTGGATTCATATTTTTCTTAAACTCGTTTCTTTTAGTCCACCTTATGGTGGACTAAATTGGTCAACCAGTGATCTCTAAATTTTGCATCAGTAGAAGAAATCTGATGACTGACTCTTTCCTCTCCTTCTTGTCTCCCTGACAAGAATCCAGACCTTTGTGTAACAATCAAGTTTTACAGCTTGCATATTCATGTTACCATATCTTAATTACAGTGTTCAGTTCTCTCTTCTTCCTATATATCACATTCACTTAGGATTAACTTCAAATTGCGTTACAGATTAATTAGGTCAGGAATCATGCCTTCCTTTTTTTTTTTTTTTAATTGGTCCAGCATAAGAGGCTGCATCTTTATTTGTAAATGAAACTGCTGCTTGTAGGGATTCTTATGCTACCTGTGCTCCTCTAAATAATTCCTGGAATGGTTCAGGAGTTTGTATAGACATAGGCTCATTTCTAATAGGCAGGCCGTTTGTTTAAGACCATGGATTCTGACTGATCCATGATCATTTGCCTTGGTGACAAAGAGTAGTTACTGGCACATTTAATTTACTGGCATGGATGCAGTCTCTCTTGATCCTAACTGACTTTTGATAGCTGCGTTTGCACAAAACAATATTACTTCCTCTAATAATTGCAATAATTTAGGCTAAGAGAAGATGAAATGGAATTTGTAGTATTATTGTAACAAACTGAGAATAGGTTCAGCCATAAGTCATCTTAAATGTTTAAGAAGTTTTGATCCATGTAGGACAACATGTAACATATATTTTTCAGAGAATTATACATACGTATTTCTGCCTAGGTATTTTCATAAATGGAGGAATGCTGCTAAAATCCCTTTTCTAGCCCAGTTTTGACGCATAAGCTAAAGTCATCAGAATTCGGTAGTGGTCCTTGAAGGATATTTAAGCATCACAGACAGTGGTAGGTATTGGCATTCATACTGAATGACAAATATATTATTTTCTCATTCAACAAAGCTCTCAGAGCAGTATCACCCTGCTGCCTAGGTTGTAGTTCTTGGACTGTAGATTTCTCCAAGAGGCACAATAAAGAAACGCAACTTTGCATGTTACAGCTCGTTACATCTGGCATCTGCTCCAGAATGTTTCCCTCATTTAGGTAAGAGATAAGGAAATATGAGAAAGAAGAAAAGTGTCAAAGGAAATTATTTGTGCCCTTTACTTTAATACTATTTTCTTCAGTTGTTTGTCCTTATATCTTACTTTCTGCCCACAGACAGATGTGTTGCCAAATATATTGCCCTTTTGTCACTGCATTTCTCTCTAAAAACCTTTCTCTGTAACTTTGGGTATATACTCTTCAGCCTAGAGTTTAACTCTGCAAACTTGTTGGCAACACACCCAGGGCTTTGTGATCTTCTTCCTAATCTCTCCTCAGAACAGTTGCTTCATCTCTGAGATGCCTAAGGAATCAGTTTATGCACTTCTACACATCAAACTCTGTTTCTCTATGCCTGTTTTCCTTACGGTATTCTTTTTTTATTCAATGTATTTTCATTTTTTCCTAAATGAAGTAATGCATGTATAGTTGGACCTTAGCCCTAATGGATCTGTATGATTTCCTCTTGCATAAGTGAGTAGTTTGCTTGGAAGGTTTGCCCTTAGGTATACTGCGAATGTTCTCCTAAATTTCTCCAACAGGAAACCTCTGGATCCCTTTCCCCACCCACGACGTGGGGGAGCCCAGTTCTAGTTCCTTCTCCATCTGAAGAACCATTCCGACGTCTTGAGGGACGGGGAAAGGGGACTCCAGCGACAGGGTTTTTCAGGCCCCGAGCCTGGAGGGGAGAGGTGCCCTCCCCTCCCCCCAGCACCCACGTGGCTCCATGGCAGGCACAGAGACA